TTCCACTAAAACATGAACTGACATGCAAAATGGGATCCGGATCCAACAGCATCAGAACCAGCAGAAACATTGCTTTAAACTGGTCTGGTTCTGTTGGTTCTGCTGGTTTTCTTGGTTCTGTTGGACTTTGGACCTTCAGTGAGTGTTGTGGGCGGAGCCTCATGTGGTGTTCATGGTCAATATGGAAGAAAATAAGATGAATCGTTGGAGCGCGTCCCGGATTGGCTCTCCGTCCGTCACCCGGAGCCTGCTGCCATGGGAACCGGGGCGTTTCGGGTCACCCGGGCAGCGGGACGACGTGACCACCGGACGGAGAGCAGAGGGAATCGTACCTTCAGATTTTCTGCTTCAGCGAATGACGATTTTCCACATGAAACATTTGCTGCATGAATCACCTGGACAGAAACGTTCATTAAGACGCTGCAGATGTTTATGAGGCTGTAAATTTTGTTTTTCTTCTGAACTAGAAGCTCCTTTTTTGCTGCTGCTGGTCTTCATGAAAACATGAGGAACGGGTCCAGATCCAAACCCGGGTCCAACACAGGCAGCTTCCGAGTGTCTTCCTGGACCAGATAGAACCAGACAGAACCGCAGAGAATGTTTAAGGACTCGTCTTTCAGTCCGAGTTTCTTTGGCTGGATGTTTCTTCACTCCGCCATGAAGATCAGCGTTCAGAGTGAAGCTTCACCTGCAGCCTTCCTCTGAGCCACAGGCTGCTGCAGCAGGCAGCCTGCTGCTGCAGCAGCAGCTGTGCAGGGCGTTCACCGAAACCGCTCACAGCAAGAAAACTTTTATTTGCAAATAAAGGAGAAGGAGAAGGAAACAGGGAGGATGTAGGAAAACTAACATCCAGCAACAAAAACACCTCCATCTGAAGACACAGAACATCAGAAACACCCACAGCATCTGATACGAACCAGCTGGATTTTATGTGTAGATTTTGTACTCATTGAGGAAAAAATATAAAATTATATTATATTTTTAAAGTAGCAGGAGAGGAATGGACCAGAACCAGAATTCTGGACCTGATGGATCCGCAATTCTCTGCTGCTTGTAAATGTTCAGCTGCCTGTGGACCGAGTCACAGGTCGGGTTCTGTTCCGAGTCCCGACTCTGAGGGCCGATAAAAACCCAAATTCTCCATGAGATAATCCAGGAAAATAAAATAATTCAATAAAATGTTTTAGATCTTATTTCACTTTCTGAAGGATCAAAACAGCAAAATGAAAACAATACATTATATTTGATTCTTCAACAAATTGTGAAGTTAATTGAGAAATCTGTCCAGAAGGAAGTTCAAAAACCTGAAGAATTCAGATTAAATCTGAAGAAATTAAAACATTATAAATTCTTTATATTTATGGACTTTTAGGATTTTTATCAAATAAATAATCCGAGCAGCAGGAAAAGTCATCAATAAAAAACGAAATTCAGCTTCAGACCCGAAGCATCCCGGTCCGAGAGACACAGTGTGTGTGTGTGTGTGTGTGTGTGTGTGTGTGTGTGTGTGTGTGTGTGTGTGTGTGTGTGTGTCTGTTTCTGGTACTTTGTGGGGACCATCTCCCTGACACTACGTTGTGGGGACCCACTGATCCTTCTGGGACCGAAGCCTCACAAGGGAAACATTGTCTGTGGGTCAGGGGTCAGTTTTGGTTCGACTGGAGCTCCATGGAAAGTCCCACAAAGACAGACACACAAACGTTAGTTGGGGGTCTGACAGGTGCTGGGCGTCTGTTATGCTCATCATCACCGTGGTGATAACCTCCTCGTCGTCACGCCAACTCTTCCTCCTGACGATGTTCCCACGGTGGGTGGGGTCAAAGGTCGGCTGCTGGACGAGGAGGAAGTTCTGATCAGAACCTCCAGCCTACTTGATCAGTGGTTCTGGTCCGGAGCGGAGCAGCAGGAATCAGAACAACATTAGAATTCTGAGAACCAGCAGAACCAGAACCAGCAGAACCAGAACCAGCAGAACCAGAACCTTTCCCTCCTGCTCTTCCTGTCTTGGATGCTTCAGATGCTCTATGAATTTATTTATTTAGTATTGATCCAATCAGGTGGACAGACGGATGCCGACTTGCCTCAGACAGGTCCGGTTCCGAGCGGTCCAGTTTCTGGACCTTCTGATGTTTCCATGGTAACGGCTGGACATGTTCATGGTGCTGGTTGGATTATTGTTATGATTAAATTTTTCCTCATTAACAGAAACTTGAGCCGACCCATCGGGCCGGGTTCTGCTGCTGGTCTGACCGGGTTCTGCTGCTGGTCTGACCGGGTTCTGCTGCTGGTCTGACCGGGTTCTGCTGCTGGTCTGACCGGGTTCTGCTGCTGGTCTCACCGGGTTCTGCTGCTGGTCGGACCGGGTTCTGCTGCTGGTCTGACCGGGTTCTGCTGCTGGTCTGACCGGGTTCTGCTGCTGGTCTCACCGGGTTCTGCTGCTGGTCTGACCGGGTTCTGCTGCTGGTCTGACCGGGTTCTGCTGCTGGTCTCACTGGGTTCTGCTGCTGGTCGGACCTGGTTCTGCTGCTGGTCTGACCGGGTTCTGCTGCTGGTCTCACTGGGTTCTGCTGCTGGTTGGACCGGGTTCTGCTGCTGGTCTGACCGGGTTCTGCTGCTGGTCTGACCGGGTTCTGCTGCTGGTCTCACTGGGTTCTGCTGCTGGTCTCACTGGGTTCTGCTGCTGGTCTGACTGGGTTCTGCTGCTGGTCGGACCTGGTTCTGCTGCTGGTCTGACCGGGTTCTGCTGCTGGTCTGACTGGGTTCTGCTGCTGGTCGGACCTGGTTCTGCTGCTGGTCTGACCGGGTTCTGCTGCTGGTCGGACCGGGTTCTGCTGCTGGTCTCACTGGGTTCTGCTGCTGGTCTGACCGGGTTCTGCTGCTGGTCTGACCGGGTTCTGCTGCTGGTCTCACTGGGTTCTGCTGCTGGTTGGACCGGGTTCTGCTGCTGGTCTCACCGGGTTCTGCTGCTGGTCGGACAGGGTCAGCGATCTGGGAGGAAATGATTCAAATCATGTTTCTGCTGCAGGTCCTGAGAAGAAAACGCCAGACAACTTCACTCGCTGACCTTTGACCTGGTCTACCCATCGGAAGGGTGTCACTTCCTCCCTGCTCAACCTTTGACCCCAGGGTTGTGACTGCTGATTTTAGGGCGTCACGCCGCGACTTTCATGGAGGGAAAACCCGGATCACCCCAAACACACACACACACCCACAGTCCCCTTCACTCAGGATTCAGTGTGAACACGCTGCTCATTTCCAAAACAAGCTGTGAAGAACAGGAACAGGTCAAAGGTCGCAGACGGTGACAGAGTGATGACAGGTGTGGGAGATCTTCACTCTCAGTCTGTTTTCATCTGACCCGACCTCCTGGGATGCCTGTTCCCCACACACACACACACGCACGCACGCACACACACACCACACACACACACACGCACGCACACACACACACACACACACACACACACACACACACACACACACAGCTCTGTTCTGCAGCCAGAGCTTCCTGAGAAATTTCTCTTCTTGATTGCCAACAATTGAAGAAAAATACATTTCCAACTTTTACTTGTCGCCACATCACTAAAATAAAACCCTCATTTTATTTTCATGAATTTTTTGGGAAATTATATTTTTTTATTGCATACAGTACGGAGCAAAAGTTTGGACACACCTTTTCATTCCATGAGTTTCCTTTATTTTCATGACTATTGACACTGAAGGCATCAAACTATGAATTAACACATGAGGAAATATGTACTAACCAAAAAGTGTGAAACAACTGAAAATGTGCCTTATGTTGTAGTTTCTTCAACGTTTTGCTGAGATCACTGCTTTGCTCTCTCTGCTTCCTCTTGATGAGCTTCCAGAGGTCGTGACCTGAAACAGTTTTCACTTCACAGGTTGATCAGTGGATTACTGCCCTTACAAATAGTCATGAAAATAAAGGAAACCTACTGAATGAGAAGGGTGTGTTAAACTTTTGCTCTGTACCGGATATATATTTTTTTAAAGTCACCTTTTTCCTAAAAGTGCGGCATGCATTTGTGTTCATCCCCTTCATTCTGACATCTCTGTAAAAAATAATAAACTATTTTTAACCATTTTTATAAAACAAATGTATTTAAAAGTTTGACTCCACGGTCATGTTGAATAAATTCGTCCCAATGAGATTCTGTCAGATTAAAAGAAACGTTAAGCAGATATTAAGCCACATTTCTGATCCTAAAGTTTTTTTTATTGTTCTGTGGTAATATTTAAATGCTAAGGGTGTTTTCATCAACTTTAAGAAGAAAATCATGACAAAAAAAGACTTTCAAACATAATAATAAGAATACTTTTTTAATCTGTTTCTCTTTGTGATAAAATAAATTAACTTTTAAATAATATTTTCATTTATGGAGCGAAGCTGAAATATTTAGAATAAATAATTCAGTTCGTCCTGAAACAGAATTTATTTTATTGTCAGATGGGAAAACGTGTCATTTTTTACAATGAAAGTTAAATATTTGCTTTGACTTTTAACTAATGAATCAGTGACTAAAATGTTACATTTCTTTTAATAAATGTAAACAGTGCATCAATAAATCATGTTTTTGTTAGTTTCTAGTTAGTAATTTATGACTTCTTAAACACACTGAGACTTGTCTGCTGCTGGGACTTTAACTAGGCCAGCGCAGTCTGGCCTGATGAAACAGAGCTCCTGAAGCTCCAATCACCCACAATTTGGTACAGAGTAGGACCTGTGATGCTGAGGGCTAAACCAGCAGAATAATGATTATTATTATTATTACAGTCTTTATACATCTAAGATAATAACTGATTAATAAAATTTCTACTTCCAGCATTTTTATTGTTGTAACATAAACCGATCTGGAAAAATGGCTTCATGTGAATCCGGAATATAATCCAGCTCCGTGTTTTAGTCGCAGCTCGGATGATTCAGATTTTCGGTTTCCTGAGGAAAACTGCAATAAAAACAACATACACATATTTTATGATTCGTTTATGAAAAATATATATTTCTTGATTCTGACTGAAACATTAGCAAGAACATATACACAATTCTCTTCCATAAATACAAAATTATTTACAGCAGAGAAAATTAAATATGAAAACCGGCCTCTGGGTGGCATGTACACACTGCCTTGTTTTTAAAATAACACCGGAGACATGTTTTTGGTTTCATATGGACTAATTAGAAAAATACACTGAATATAAAAGACACTGAAGCGTTTTCACTGTCTGCCTGCAGCAGGGAGGTTAGAAAAATCCTGGAGGACAAAACCGAGATCAACACAGTTTCCATCGCATCTTCATATCAACACGTCTTCGGTGATCTGTTCATGACTTCAGAGACTTTTCAACCTGCTGGGGTTTGAATCAGAAAAGCTCCTCTGGTCGGCAGGAGCACCTGAAAAACAAAACAGTTTACTCTGTTTTACATCCTGCAGCTGCTCTTTTCAACGAGAGACTTCCGGGTTTTCTGGTTTGGACGGTGACTGAGAGTCGGCGTTGGGTTTTCCCAGCAGGCTGCTGCATCATGACTGATTCCAGAAGAAAGCAACGAGAAAAAATAATCAGAAAAATATCCAGAGTCATTAAAAACTCTGCAATTTTTAGGCACAAAGTCCAGAAGGTTTAAAGAAAGTTTCAGTTCCTGTAACATCAGGCAGAGGATTTTTGATTATTCTTGTCAAAATATTTTCTAATTCAAGGACAATTTATATATTTGTTTATATAAAAAAGCAAAGAAAGGTCAAAAAGGATTTAAAAGTATTGAAAGATAAATGGTGTGGGACATTCAGTTTATCTGGTCTGTCATCCCAACATTGTCACTATTGAAGCAGAATGAGTCATTGTGGCGATTGCTGGTTTTCAGTGAGCAGCAGCAATAAATATTAAATAAAAACGTGTGTGTAGAATAGATCCTCAGGCTGTTCTGTCCAGGACAGAAACGTTTCAGGCCCTCCAGTGTAAAAGCTCCTCCGCTGGTGCTCTGAAAACTCAAGGTTATACCTGAGAACAAGATACAGAAACAGCAGTTAGTCATCAGCGTACAGGATGACCTTTCCACCCTCAAATCTAAAAAAACAGACAAACTGGGGACTTGGAGCTGATAACGGGTGGATTAGAGTAACGCACATTTAAAGGAGCAAACTAAAGTGAGAACAAGGTGAATAAGAGAAGAAAATGACCACATTGTGAACGGCTTCAGGACCCAACGTCTCTGCAATCTGCAGCTTCCTGTTTGTTTACTAATTGGATTTTTCAGTGAAACAAGGAGCAAAAAGTTATTGGATCTGACATTCATTAAAGAAACATTTTAATAGAAGGTTTAGTCAGGATGGCTGGGACTAGTTCCTGGAACTGAGCCGTGTGCCTTTGAGCAGCAGAAAGAGAGAAAACCTTTAAAGTCTGTAACGCTGTTCAAAAAAAACAAAAAAAAACACGTTTGACCGTTAACAAACATAACCTATGATGAAGTGTTAATATTTTAAAGTCTTTTTAGAGCTCTGACTTCACATGAAGCAATGAGACAGCAAACATGTTTTGTTTAGGGCTTTAGCTTCTTTGCTAACTTTGAAAATGTTTAGCACACTTAACGTACCCCGAGAAAATTCAATTATCTCTAAAGCACTAATTTACTCGCCTGTTTTCAGTTGAATAAAGTTGACATTTTGGTTTTTCTCTTATGAATTCTTCAAGTAGTGAGACATGTACTCTGTACCCAGAATGCATTGCTGTTCTACAGTAAGCACTGAAAAACCCAGTGATGTCCTTCAAGCTTTTTGGCCAAAAGTCAATTAGGCTAAATTAGCAACAAAGTTAGGAAAACTCATCAGCTATGGAGCTGAAGCTGTGGGTGAAAGGTCAGCTCCCTGAAGTGAAACCGTCCAGGAAGGTTTGACTGTTGAGGACCAGGTGCCATGCCGTATCAACATGATAGGAATGAGTGCTTTAGCATTAGCTTCCACTAAACTATGTTGGTATAATACTTTAGCATTAGCAGATATAATGTTTATTATTAGTGGTTTAGGGCTAGCACAGTTAGCTTTTAGCACAGCTAACCCTAACCCAATTATAAAATTGGATTCACAAGTTTGTATTTACTGTTTTTCTCCTGACATGTAAAGTTTTACATAAAGTGGAGACAATCTAAAAGAGAGAGCTATCGCTAACGTCCAGCCAGCAGCTGCATGACCAGCTCTCGTCCTAACTGCTGCAGCAACAGATGGTGAAGGATCACTGAGTTTCTGGAACAATTAATATGATATATAATGTCATGATTCAAAGAAGAAATTAGCAATAATTTCAAATCTTTGCTATTATGTGTTTTTCTAATTACAGTTGTATGATTACTAGATTCTGGTTCAAATAAATCATGAAAATCCACCAGAAGTGGCATTTATGCCGACGATGTGCAGATCGAAACCCCTGAAAGGAAAAAACAGAGGCTGGTCATGAAAACAGTGGCAGCATCATGCTGGGGTCAGCTGGACTCAATCTGCAGAAAAACTAAATATTCTGCTGGTCAACATTTCTGTTTAATTATTAACTTGTTTAATTTGATGATACTTTATGCTAATCTAAATTAATGTGGGATCCTTAGAAAGTTTGGTTGAATATTAAGTCAATTTACATCAAGAAAAAAATAGAAACTAGAAATAACCCAAGAGGTTCTGCACATTTCCTGAAAGCTGCTGGTGGTATCGATGGGTCGGGTCGGATCCAGTGAGGTTAACAGAGTTTGTCACTGTGACGATGGAAAAGTTCAGGCTCTACGCTGACGATGGTCTCGTCTTCAACCTAAAGAGTCTGAAGAGTTTTCACATTCAGCTGGACATTATGTGGAACAAAACCAGGAACAGAAACACGGAAAAAACAGAAAAAACATGGATTCATGAGGAAATACTGAGCTTTGTTGATTTCAAGTTGAGATCATAATTAAAGCTCTCCATGCCTTTCAGAGGAGCTCAGAGGGTTCAAATGGTAAAAAGTCTGAATTTACCAGTCAGAGAAAAATTTTAAACCTTGATCTGATTAACAAACTGGGCCTTAACACTGCAGGAATACTTTTCAATTTCTGAATGTCGCTAGGCCGGGAATCGAACCTGTGACCAGCGCCACGAGGACTGAGGCCTCAAAACGCAGGTCCTACCTGTTCCTGGTTTTGTTGTCACAGATCGGACGGGAACAAGCAGCATGCAGTTTGGACTGAAAGGAAGTTTAAACACTTACCTGCTGTGCCTAATCAGTTCAGTAACATAATCAAGCTGATCGTTTAACAACCTATAGAAGTTGTGCTAAAGTCTGCCGTGTGTCAGCAGAACGACCAGCAAATATCCACATATTGATAGAGATTTGAGTCTCAGTTCTGTTAAAGCAAGTCGGATCGTTTCCTCCCAACCAGCTGTTTGTTACCTGTTGATTCAAACATTTCTACCCAAAAGGAAGGAAAGGTTGTGATTTAGTTCATGGAAACGGGAGCATAAAATAACATGCTGAGTAAATTAAAGATAATTTATTTAAACTATACATGAAATTTTATTGCTTTATTATTATCTGAATTACTCAGAAAACTGTCAGCACCCAGAGACGCGATCAAGGAAGAATTATGGCGAAATCACATCCTGATGCTAACGCTAATGCTAACAATTCCATTAAAACTCAACAAGCAGAAAACCATATGATGACATCACGTGATGATGTCATCGTGATGACATCATCACATGATGGGTGAAAGGGTTCATGCACACATGAGCCCTTGCAAACACACACCTTACACACTTGAACAATATTTGCATTTCACGTGAATATTTGCCGTGAAATGCAAATATTCACGTCATCTGTGTCCCACCGAGACACAGATGACATCACGTGATGTCATCATGTGTTAGGGTTAACCCTAACCCTAACACATTTGACTTTTACATGCAGTGGAAAGTTTGAAATCAGGGAACAGGGAGGATGAACCTCATCTGACCTCTGACCTCTGACCAATTGTCAGAGGTCAGATGAGGATTGGCTAATCGTTGGAAACATAAAAACGACCAAACATCAGGCAACAACATTTTCAGAACCAGGGACGGGTTCTGATGAGCTAACCGGAACCATCAGGACCCGAACCATCAGGACCCGAACCGGAACCATCAGGACCCGAACCGAAACCATCAGGACCCGAACCATCAGGACCCGAACCGGAACCATCAGGACCCGAACCGAACCGGAACCATCAGGACCCAAACCGAACCGGAACCATCAGGACCCAAATCAGAACCATCAGGACCTGAACCGGGCTGCCTGGAACCAGGAAGTCTGAATTCAGCTGAAACCTGATCAGAACCTGGCAGGTCTGGAGGAGAACGGATCCGAAACCCTCTGTGAAGGTGTGACTCTGATCCACTTTTCTAAAAACACAACAGCAAAGCAGCTCGGCTGCCATCTTGGATTCTTCCTGCACGACCCGACAAGAACCGACTCAACAGTCCAGAGTCCAGATGAGGCCAAACACCAACGAGACGAAAGAACCTTTAGATGCAACGATCCTGGGAATTTAAACTGGGAGACTCTGTCAAGAGACGAGTCCCATTGAGACACCGAGTCCCACCGAGACATCGAGTCCCACCGAGACACCGAGTCCCACTGAGACATCGAGTCCCACCGAGACACCGAGTCCCACTGAGACACCGAGTCCCACTGAGACACGGAGTCCCACCGAGACATCGAGTCCCACCGAGACATCGAGTCCCACTGAGACACCGAGTCCCACTGAGACACGGAGTCCCACCGAGACATCGAGTCTCACCGAGACACCGAGTCCCACCGAGACACCGAGTCCCACTGAGACACCGAGTCCCACCGAGACATCGAGTCCCACCGAGACACCGAGTCCCACTGAGACACCGAGTCCCACTGAGACACCGAGTCCCACCGAGACACCGAGTCCCACTGAGACACCGAGTCCCACTGAGACACCGAGTCCCACTGAGACACGGAGTCCCACTGAGACACCGAGTCCCATTGAGACATCGAGTCCCACTGAGACACCGAGTCCCATTGAGACATCGAGTCCCACTGAGACACGGAGTCCCACCGAGACATCGAGTCTCACCGAGACACCGAGTCCCACAGTCCCACCGAGACACCATCAGGATGGATTCTGTCTCAGATCATTGGCCGTGTTCATGTAAATGATTTTTCAGCACATTTTTCGGCACTGCATTAGAAACGGTTGATGGAACCGGGCCCTTAGAACCGGGCCCTTTAGAACCGGGCCCTTTAGAACCGGGCCCTTTAGAACCGGGCCCTTAGAACCGGGCCCTTTAGAACCGGGCCCTTAGAACCGGGCCCTTAGAACCGGCCCCTTAGAACCGGGCCCTTTAGAACCGGGCCCTTTAGAACCGGGCCCTTTAGAACCGGGCCCTTTAGAACCGGGCCCTTTAGAACCGGGCCCTTAGAACCGGGCCCTTTAGAACCGGGCCCTTTAGAACCGGGCCCTTTAGAACCGGGCCCTTTAGAACCGGGCCCTTAGAACCGGGCCCTTAGAACCGGGCCCTTAGAACCGGGCCCCTTAGAACCGGGCCCTTAGAACCGGGCCCTTTAGAACCGGGCCCTTTAGAACCGGGCCCTTTAGAACCGGGCCCTTAGAACCGGGCCCTTTAGAACCGGGCCCTTTAGAACCGGGCCCTTAGAACCGGGCCCTTTAGAACCGGGCCCTTTAGAACCGGGCCCTTTAGAACCCAACTGTGTGTTGGGTTGAAGCAGGAGAGCAAAACCAGGCTGGCTGATGACCCTAAACCTGACCTTTTCACCTTCGTCCTGCTGGTTTGAAACACCCAACACAAATGGACTGCAAGAACCCAGGCGCTCTCCCTTTGACCTTTTGACCCTATGCTGGCACTAAAGATCTCAGGAACCGACTGACAGCCTGTTTCAGCTCTTCATCAGTCGGTCTGGGTCGACGTCGCTCCTGCTTCTAGTGACCCGGCAGCGACCCGGATCTGTTCCCGGACCGGATCTGTTCCTGGACCGGACCGGATCTGTTTCCGGACCGAATCTCCTCCCGGACCGGATCTGCTCCCGGACCGGATCTGTTCCCGGACCGGATCTGTTCCCGGACCGGATCTGTTCCCGGACCGGATCTGCTCCCGGACCGGATCTGTTCCCGGACCGGATCTGTTCCCGGACCGGATCTGTTCCCGGACCGGATCTGTTCCTGGACCGGATCTGTTCCCGGCCGTCTCTCTGGTGAAAACCGAACAGCCACACGACTCAGACATAAAGCAACTTTCCTGTCTCTTATTCTTTCTAATAAAAGGCGAAAAACAAAGAAACATTTTCCCACCAACTTGGCATCGTCTGTAACTCCAGTCCTCAGGGCCGCTGGCCGTCCTGCAGGTTTTAGATGAGCCTCAGGTAATGAAATGACTTCATGACCTCCTCCATTTTGGGTCTGTTCTCCAGAACCTTAATGGCCTCATTATTCTACCCAGCTGATGTAGCAGAGACTCAGTGACCCTCCAGGACTGGAGTTTGACCTCATGTGACCTCATGTTTTTATCTATGCGTTTTGTCTGACTGGTTGAAAAGCTGATTCTGAGCTTCAGGGTTCAAACCTGCTTCCCTCCTGCAGCTGATTGGACGATAAAGTCCCGGTTCGAGCCTCACCTCGGTGGCAAACACACGCTGCTCCACGGACTCAGGGGCGATGAACACCGGGCGATACAGACTGTCCTTCACAAGACTGAGAGGAGGGACGATGCTGGAGGAGTCATGTTTCTGACTGTTTGAGCAGAGAGACAGAGTTTGGTTCAGCAGCCGACCCGTCACAGACATGCTCAGAGAGACGCTCGGCACACAGGGCAGGAATCAATCTTCTACTTGCCTTCCAGAACACAAACATGGAGCCGAGAGAGAACAGGAACACACAGAAAACCATCAAACCATCACACTGTCAAAGCCTTACGGGTCAAGCTGGTTCTTCTCCAGGCGCTGCTCCTCTTTGGCCAGGTTACAGTCGGCCATTTTGTTTTTGACCATGGACCCATTGTCGCTGCTCTTCTCTGCCAGCGCTGCGTCCTTGTTGGACACTTTATGTGAACCTCCAGGGAGAAGAAAGGCCTCCTTCTCCTTCAGGCTGCACGCCGGCGCCCCCGCCAGGCTCCCGTTGTTGGGGACGCCTCCGCCGATCACGGCGCCGCGGTTGTTCACCGTCTCCAAGTCGTTTTTCACGGACCTGGACATGGCTGCCAGCTTCCTGCCCCGGCGCAGCTGGCGCAGGACGTGGATGGAGGCGCACACCAGGAGCGACAGAGTCACCAGGCCCAGCGCGACGGCGGCAATCAGCGCCGGAGAGGCGTCGCCGCCATCTGGGGGTCTTGGAGAGGGAATGCTGAGGGAGTACTCACAGCGAGCGCCCATGAAGCCCGGCGGACACTGGCACACGAAGCCGGAGAAGTGGGCGTAACACGTTCCCCCGTTGCTGCAGGGGAAGGAGTCGCAGGAAGTGGTGCGCACCGAGCAGTCCTTGCCAGAGAAGCCCAGGGTGCACGAGCAGCTGAAGTCATTGATGCCGTCCAGGCACGTGCCGGCGTTGCGGCAGGGGTTGCCGGCGCAGTCGTCGATGTTGGTCTCGCAGAGAGTCCCGGTGAAGCCCGAGCGACAGTGACACACGACCCGGCCGCCGAGGTCCAGACACCGTGCACCTGCAGAGCGGAGGAGACGGGTCAGCATGATGAATTCAGCTCCCATCACTCGAGCCGGAACACACAAAACTACGGACAACATCCGCCTCCAGGCAGGAAGGCCCGGAACTGAACCAGCAACCTGTGCACAAAATGGCTGACACAGGAATCAACCAGCAGGGGGGCAACTGGGGAAATGCTGCTCAACTGTGTTGGATAAAGACTCAATTTGGACATGGATTCTTTAAGAAACATTCCAAGCATAAAGATCAGAATTATGGAATATTTTGACCAGCTTACAGGCATCTGGGTCATTGATTCTCATCTCCCTTTGCTTCTGATTCCGGGATTTCTCCCATTGAGATCAATTTCTCCAGGACAATTTCACTGAGCCAATCAGTGAACAGAAGAAGTTGTGAACGATGATGTCAGTTTTCTGCATTGTTTTAGAATTTCAGCAGCAGCAGGAACGTCGAAGAAATTTTATTGCTAGCAAAGATGTTTGACTCGACTCTTCTCTCTTGCGGTTAGCTTCATAGCGGAGAAGCTAAGTGCAAAACGTCACAGCCAAACTTTAGCGATTGAGTAAGATGAGATCCAGAAGGTTCCTCTGCGGTCCAGACGGTCTGGGGGAAGCAGAACCAGGAGCTGGTTGCACCAGACGAGCTAACATGTTGATTAAAATCATTTTCCTCATGTTGCAGAGCAGCTGCTCCACAATCAGCCCAACGATATTTGTATGGAACATTTCAAAGCGCTTTACATCATAGAGTCATGCAACATAGAATCAACAATTCTATTGATCGACCCATCATTAAATACTTAATTGATTATGTTTCCATAGCAACGCTAAGCAGCTGGTTTCAGTCTAGGTTAAAGGAGCTCAGGGTTTCTGCTGCGTTTCACTTTTCTGGAAGGTTGATCCAGATCTGTGGAGCATAGAAGCTGAAAGCTGCTTCTCCATCTTTGGTTCTGGTTCTGATGCTGAACAGAACCAGAACCAGCAGGTCGATCCAGCAGCAGATCTTTAATATTTCAGTGAGTTAGAAACTAGGAGCAGTTTAACGTCTCAGTGAAGGAATGTAGAACTAGGTGATGTAGAACCAGGTGATGTAGAACTAGGTGATGTAGAACCAGGTGATGTAGAACTAGGTGATGTAGAACTAGGTGATGTAGAACCAGGTGGTGTAGAACCAGGTGATGTAGAACCAGGTGATGTAGAACTAGGTGATGTAGAACTAGGTGATGTAGAACTAGGTGATGTAGAACCAGGTGATGTAGAACCAGGTGATGTAGAACTAGGTGATGTAGAACCAGGTGATGTAGAACCAGGTGATGTAGAACTAGGTGATGTAGAACTAGGTGATGTAGAACTGGGTGATGTAGAACCAGGTGGTGTAGAACCAGGTGATGTAGAACCAGGTGGTGTAGAACTAGGTGATGTAGAACTAGGTGATGTAGAACCAGGTGATGTAGAACTAGGTGATGTAGAACCAGGTGATGTAGAACTGGGTGATGTAGAACCAGGTGATGTAGAACTAGGTGATGTAGAACCAGGTGATGTAGAACTAGGTGATGTAGAACTAGGTGATGTAGAACTAGGTGATGTAGAACCAGGTGATGTAGAACCAGGTGGTGTAGAACTAGGTGATGTAGAACCAGGTGATGTAGAACCAGGTGATGTAGAACCAGGTGGTGTAGAACTAGGTGATGTAGAACCAGGTGATGTAGAACTAGGTGATGTAGAACCAGGTGATGTAGAACTAGGTGATGTAGAACTGGGTGATGTAGAACTAGGTGATGTAGAACTAGGTGATGTAGAACTAGGTGATGTAGAACCAGGTGGTGTAGAACTAGGTGATGTAGAACCAGGTGGTGTAGAACTAGGTGATGTAGAACCAGGTGGTGTAGAACCAGGTGATGTAGAACCAGGTGGTGTAGAACTAGGTGATGTAGAACTGGTGATGTAGAACCAGGTGATGTAGAACCAGGTGATGTAGAACCAGGTGATGTAGAACTAGGTGATGTAGAACCAGGTGATGTAGAACTAGGTGATGTAGAACCTGGTGATGTAGAACCAGGTGATGTAGAACTAGGTGATGTAGAACTAGGTGATGTAGAACTAGGTGATGTAGAACCAGGTGATGTAGAACCAGGTGGTGTAGAACTAGGTGATGTAGAACCAGGTGATGTAGAACCAGGTGATGTAGAACCAGGTGGTGTAGAACTAGGTGATGTAGAACCAGGTGATGTAGAACTAGGTGATGTAGAACCAGGTGATGTAGAACTAGGTGATGTAGAACTGGGTGATGTAGAACTAGGTGATGTAGAACTAGGTGATGTAGAACTAGGTGATGTAGAACTAGGTGATGTAGAACCTGATGATGTAGAACTAGGTGATGTAGAACCAGGTGGTGTAGAACTAGGTGATGTAGAACCAGGTGGTGTAGAACCAGGTGATGTAGAACTAGGTGATGTAGAACTAGGTGATGTAGAACTAGGTGATGTAGAACCTGATGATGTAGAACTAGGTGATGTAGAACCAGGTGATGTAGAACCAGGTGATGTAGAACTAGGTGATGTAGAACTAGGTGATGTAGAACTAGGTGATGTAGAACCTGATGATGTAGAACTAGGTGATGTAGAACTAGGTGATGTAGAACTAGGTGATGTAGAACTAGGTGATGTAGAACCTGATGATGTAGAACTAGGTGATGTAGAACTAGGTGATGTAGAACTGGGTGATGTAGAACTAGGTGATGTAGAACTAGGTGATGTAGAACTAGGTGATGTAGAACCAGGTGGTGTAGAACTAGGTGATGTAGAACCAGGTGGTGTAGAACCAGGTGATGTAGAACTAGGTGATGTAGAACTAGGTGATGTAGAACCAGGTGGTGTAGAACTAGGTGATGTAGAACTAGGTGATGTAGAACCAGGTGGTGTAGAACCTGATGATGTAGAACTAGGTGATGTAGAACTAGGTGATGTAGAACTAGGTGATGTAGAACCAGGTGATGTAGAACCAGGTGATGTAGAACTAGGTGATGTAGAACTAGGTGATGTAGAACCAGGTGATGTAGAACCTGATGATGTAGAACTAGGTGATGTAGAACTAGGTGATGTAGAACCAGGTGATGTAGAACTAGGTGATGTAGAACTAGGTGATGTAGAACCAGGTGATGTAGAACCTGATGATATATAACTAGGTGATGTAGAACCAGGTGATGTAGAACTAGGTGATGTAGAACTAGGTGATGTAGAACCAGGTGATGTAGAACTAGGTGGTGTAGAACTAGGTGATGTAGAACCAGGTGGTGTAGAACCAGGTGATGTAGAACTAGGTGATGTAGAACTAGGTGGTGTAGAACCAGGTGATGTAGAACTAGGTGGTGTAGAACTAGGTGATGTAGAACCTGATGATGTAGAACTAGGTGATGTAGAACCAGGTGATGTAGAACTGGGTGATGTAGAACTAGGTGATGTAGAACTAGGTGATGTAGAACTAGGTGATGTAGAACCAGGTGGTGTAGAACTAGGTGATGTAGAACCAGGTGGTGTAGAACCAGGTGATGTAGAACCAGGTGGTGTAGAACTAGGTGATGTAGAACTGGGTGATGTAGAACCAGGTGATGTAGAACCAGGTGATGTAGAACCAGGTGATGTAGAACTAGGTGATGTAGAACCAGGTGATGTAGAACTAGGTGATGTAGAACCTGGTGATGTAGAACCAGGTGATGTAGAACTAGGTGATGTAGAACTAGGTGATGTAGAACTAGGTGATGTAGAACCAGGTGATGTAGAACCAGGTGGTGTAGAACTAGGTGATGTAGAACCAGGTGATGTAGAACCAGGTGATGTAGAACCAGGTGGTGTAGAACTAGGTGATGTAGAACCAGGTGATGTAGAACTAGGTGATGTAGAACCAGGTGATGTAGAACTAGGTGATGTAGAACTGGGTGATGTAGAACTAGGTGATGTAGAACTAGGTGATGTAGAACTAGGTGATGTAGAACTAGGTGATGTAGAACCTGATGATGTAGAACTAGGTGATGTAGAACCAGGTGGTGTAGAACTAGGTGATGTAGAACCAGGTGGTGTAGAACCAGGTGATGTAGAACTAGGTGATGTAGAACTAGGTGATGTAGAACTAGGTGATGTAGAACCTGATGATGTAGAACTAGGTGATGTAGAACCAGGTGATGTAGAACCAGGTGATGTAGAACTAGGTGATGTAGAACTAGGTGATGTAGAACTAGGTGATGTAGAACCTGATGATGTAGAACTAGGTGATGTAGAACTAGGTGATGTAGAACTAGGTGATGTAGAACTAGGTGATGTAGAACCTGATGATGTAGAACTAGGTGATGTAGAACTAGGTGATGTAGAACTGGGTGATGTAGAACTAGGTGATGTAGAACTAGGTGATGTAGAACTAGGTGATGTAGAACCAGGTGGTGTAGAACTAGGTGATGTAGAACCAGGTGGTGTAGAACCAGGTGATGTAGAACTAGGTGATGTAGAACTAGGTGATGTAGAACCAGGTGGTGTAGAACTAGGTGATGTAGAACTAGGTGATGTAGAACCAGGTGATGTAGAACCTGATGATGTAGAACTAGGTGATGTAGAACTAGGTGATGTAGAACTAGGTGATGTAGAACCAGGTGATGTAGAACCAGGTGATGTAGAACTAGGTGATGTAGAACTAGGTGATGTAGAACTAGGTGATGTAGAACCAGGTGATGTAGAACCTGATGATGTAGAACTAGGTGATGTAGAACTAGGTGATGTAGAACCAGGTGATGTAGAACTAGGTGATGTAGAACTAGGTGATGTAGAACCAGGTGATGTAGAACCTGATGATGTAGAACTAGGTGATGTAGAACCAGGTGATGTAGAACTAGGTGATGTAGAACTAGGTGATGTAGAACCAGGTGATGTAGAACTAGGTGGTGTAGAACTAGGTGATGTAGAACCAGGTGGTGTAGAACCAGGTGATGTAGAACTAGGTGATGTAGAACTAG